TTGATGCTGTCTGTTGTCAACTGCAAGACCAAATCTCCTCATTTTGTTAAATATACAAAACATTGTTTATTGTTTTTAAAGTTTTAAAAAGTTTTTTCTCAGGTATCATACATTACTGATATTCACATGGGCACTGAAGCTGCTGTTGCCACAGTATGTTGGTCAGTTTTCGAGTTTAGGTTAAATCCATAAAAAGACCAAAACCAAAAATGTATCTACCTACCAACAAGTATCGTTTGTAGCCCAATATATCTTCATCCCCGGTGCCGTAGAGCTCAATTGTTGTGCACATGTTCCTTCATTACCTTGAACCCACAGACTGTAGTTTATTTTGACTCAATCCTATATACGCTGTCCTGTCGCCCCAAACAGTCCCCAACAAATTCACTACTTAGTCCTGAGTCCTGATTTAGACTAACATTTGCTAAAAACTACAGTAACCAGTTGTTAGGAAATCACTGACAGCTGGTTACTGACATATTACTATATTACTGACTATATATTGCGAGTTGTTGTTAAAGGTTTGCACAGTGGTTTTACACACAGGTTCCACAGACACAAATATGAAAGTATTGAGAGACAAACGTATGGTTGGATTTCTCTTTTAATGAGATTTATTGACAATAAGAAAACAATACAGTCTCATCAGACTTGTCCTTTAAACTGGTAAACTCTTGCACACTGTTATCAAAAAAAGGAGAGGAAAAAAGTTTTCTGTAGATAGTAACTTTTATATATATATATATATATATAAAAAAAAACAACTTTTTGTCAGATTTGCTGAAACTTTACTGACAGTAGTTCGAGTCGGATAATCTGTGAGAAAGTTCAGGTTCCTCTGGTTCCTCCTAGTGCCATTTGCAAGAATCCCCTGGGCCTGAATGAAAGCAACCAATCAGAGCCAAGAAAGACACTGACTGTTGTGCCTCATTCCCAGGTCATCGAATACCGGCACTTTGGGTGGTGGCTTGAGGCTTTGAGACACAATGCATTGGTATTTGATGACCTGGGAGTTGAGTTATAGAAAGAGCCAGAGGAACCGGATATTTTTCCACACTATCTGTACTAACTGTCAGGATATAGTGACAGTTTCAGCAAATATGACAACATTATTTTTACCTACTGCAACAATACATAAACAGCATCTTATAAAGTCACCAGCTGCATGAACCTTTCACAAAAGGGGTCAAACCACAGGAACACTTAAGACAATTACATTTAATTCAAAATACATACATAAAAAGATGAATCATCATATCTAATCAAAAAAAGACTGCAGGACAAAATAGGGGCAAGGTACTGCCTTCCAAACAAAAATTGGCTAACTGAACACAATGTTAGACTGAAAAATGAAGTGAGACAAAATGGCAGTTCAGTCTAATTATCAAGCTACTATTTCCTCATATGTTCCTGAAAATCCATGACAAAAACAAAGCTGCTGACAGTGTACCACAGTTTACCACGTTTTCATGACTTTTCATTCTGCATTCTCATGTAAACCAAAGACTGGAGTTAGGCAGCCAGAGAGCTTACAGATCCACCAGTTCCCTCCCAGGAAATACTGCAATTTATTTCACTGTACTGTAAAGATCATGCTTAAGTTTGGCTGTAGAAAGTAGTACCGGAGTAGTACCCTGAGCTACTCTGACCCCGTGGTGAAAAACATGTGCCCATTCCCTCCCGCTTAGCATTGAGTAATTGCTGTCGACCTGAATTTCTGCTTCGTTCAATCTGAGAAGTGCTTGGGTCCAGAGAAAAGAAGCAAGCCTGGGAGCTTCTCAGCAGAATCAGGATTTGGTGTTTGTGTCCCAGAGGCGGTCAGCAGTGAGTGATGAGCAGTGTGGCTTACAGTCTGCAGGGAGGAGAGGATTCATTTGAGTGAGATCTCAGGGAGTTTGTGGTGAGAGCGAAGTCTGCCGGCTGTGCAGCAGGAAAAACACCAAAACTTCATTTTCTTGCTTCGCACCAAATTCTCAGCTGTTGTTCAAGAGGCTGCCACGGCTACAGGGAAGAAATGAACTTAATCCTAATCTCAACCAGACCAATTGGATTAGAGTTTAAGCATTTTAGCCACGGGTTTGCAATTCTGGCCTGGTGTTTTATATTCAATGTTTAATTTTTGTATTTAGATTTGTCATATCATCATTCCATATGATTGCCTTAGCTGGCTGAGACTGATCATTGTTACTTAATTTGTTTTGTACAAATTATCATTTTTAAAAAAATATGAAATGACATGCTGGACATTTGTCTTGTGAGATCCCGTCATCAGCTCATTCAAAGAATTGTGTCAGCTGAATAAAAAAAAAAAATACATAACCAAATGTTGACTCAGAGTGTTTCATCATCATTGGTTTAGTGCAATTATTTTATATTAATTATATATATATATATATATATATATATATGTGTGTATATATATATATATATATGTATATATATGTATATATGT